AGGTTTTTTTTTTCTTTTAAATACGTACGACGAAGTGCCTGAGGTCAGGACTAGAGAACAGGACCATCCACTTTGCATTCTGCCTTGTCTGCGACGTCGTCCGAGTACAACTTTCGTTCCATAGATTAATTTAAGCTTATTCGCAAATTATGACAAGCTTTACGTACTCACAGCTGGAAAGAATGAGTTTTACATTAACTGAATTTCTCGTGTTTCGCCTCGTAATGGTTTTTTTTTTAATTTTCTTTTACGGAGTCTTTATCAACGGAAGATGTACCCTCTGTGGTTATGGGTGTTCGGCGTTGGCGATTATCACATACTTCCTATTTTAATTCCGCATAAAATAACTATATGTCTGTACTATTATTTGTACTGTACTGTACAAGGTACCTGGTCCATGGAAATCCTACTGTAGTTAGCTGTTTTGCCGTTCCATGGGTAAGAAATGGTTTAGAACTGCCTGCTGAGAGATAATTACGTGTTAAATAGTTTCCTCTGCAGCCACCTTTAACGTGCAATTTACCTGTTCTGAAGAATGTTTACGCTATAATGCATACGGATCTTCATTCCTCAGTCCGGCAGTCAACTTTTTATTTGCGTTTGTGTATCTTTGCTTGAGAGATGGAGTGAAGTGTCTCTTTCTGAACGTTAGAATATTTAAAGCATAAACTACCTTGTGGAACACTTTAAAAACTGAAGCTCGTCTAAATAGTATTTAAGAATTCAGTCCGTACCGCGAAGAAAACACTACACTTCACCATTACAAATATCAACTGGTTAACGCTGTTCAAGGAAGTAATCGCTGTTTGCTTTGAGAAGCATGTTTGCATATTCTGTGTGCAAACTGTAGAGTTATTAAACATCAAAGCAGGTGGTACATATAATTACCATTATTATTTACGACATCAAAAGTAGTATAATAATACCGTGTTCGGACTTGTAGATGTTAAAGTTGCAATCCAAATACTGTAAAATTAAAAAAATTTTCGTTGTGAGTTATTTAAAAACGGAAAACTGACCATTTGTGAGTCGGAAGACGGCTGAAAACGGAAAACTGACCATTTGTGAGTCCGAAGATGGCTATCTGCCCTGATGATGGAGGCAATAAGGATCTCTGAAACGTTGCTTAACTTCTACAAGATAACCGACCAGTGTTTGTGTGTTCTTTTACTGTGTTGAAAGATTCACCTGTTAACTTCAACCTAATGAATGTTAAGGTAAATCTGTTGGCTCAGAGGATGCTTTCAGTCTGTTATAAAAAATGGCTTGCCTTCAGGCTTTGCCTGGGTTTGTTGGCCCTTGAAATCTATAATTTTTCTAATTTTTCGCCTTATTACATCGCGAGATATGACAGAAACACAGGAATATTAGTCTGTGAATCCCACTTACATATCTGAATATTATTAAGGATATATGAAGGCGATTATGATACGATATGACGTATTTGTTAAGTCTGTCACAAGTTTGAGGAGTCAGGCTGTACTGGAACAAATATGAATGGCTTTCAGCCGTTAATCATGAAAGTAGGTGTGAAACACTTGATGTTTACTACAGCGTTTTGTAATAATATTAACATGTGGATTTATTTTTATTAACACAAACTACAACCGTGATTCTATGTTTACGTAAACTACCCACACAATTTTTGAGTGTCTTACCGAGTACACGAAATTGTTATAAATGTAATTTAAATAGAAGAATTTTGCGCTTAGAATGATGCATCTCAAATCGTTAAGATCATGTTACACGATTTTAATCCTCGAAGCTCGTGTCACAAGAAGTAGAAACTGATTAAAAGTCCGTTTACTCACTTTTGGCTTCGCTCAAAATCACCAACTGATTTAAATTTAGAAGACGTATGACCTGTGCATTTAAATATATTTATCTGTAGAACAACAAACACTTGGCACTGATAAAAGACTAAACAATTTTGAATTTCCTGAAATAAATTATACGCATGACTTGCAAGAACTCCGAACGTCGTGGCCGATTGGATTGCTCTCTACTTCGTATTCGGGAGGTACAGGATTCAAATCTCGATCACGGAGCCCGGTTATTCTGACAGGGCAATCGTGGTTCTTCTCAGCCTCTCCAGATACATTGCGGGGAAACTGCGTTAAATTTGGTCACGGCCGCTTAATTCTATGTCATTTTTAATTCATTATTAATTATTCGTCATGTCATTAGGCTATATATAGTCTGAGCTGGTCGAAGTGTCGTTAATTTACGAGAAATACAGCAGCTGGCATAATACCAGAATTTCTTTCATAACAGAGAGTCTAACCAGTGTGACACAATGTACAGGGAGGTTTTAAGTAACGTAAGATATTTTTTTGAAATTATTGAACATTTTAGTTTATTGTAATAAGGTAGTATATTTGCGTCATATTGTGAATTAGGTTAATATTTTAATATTTTCCGTCAAATCACAATTTTTAATAAGATAATAAAATATAAAATATTTAAAATATTCGATGCGGAACGTGAAATGATATTTTAAATATTTTTTATATTTTATTATCTTATTAAAAATTGTGATTTGACGGAAAATATTAAAATATTATTGTAATATCATTATGTTATAACTAGAAAATCACCAGAAAAAGTTACGATAATATCTAAAGTATTAAACACGTAGCCATAAATATTATCACATGAGGTCCAAAATCCCATAACGGCTATATACACTCGGAGCAAAGAGCGAATTAAAAACAATTATCGCCAACTAACTAAGAATTGTCTATTGCGCTTTGTAGACGGACTAAATCGCCACATTTAGTCCGCATATCAAACACGATAGACCAGTGTGACGTAACGTTTTTTTCTCAGTTCATATCGGCCTTCGTTTCGTTATGGATCTTAGACATTGTGGGTCAATAACAGATTTATCATGAAAGTAAAACAGGTCAGAAGGAAATTGTTTCTGTAATCACATGTCACTGTCAATATAGAAGGTAACTGTATTATTTTTTTTTCCCATATAGATTTGAAAACATGGAATAATTCTAATGAATTCGCTGATGATCTTGAACGAGGAACGTAAAGCCCTCAGCCGCCCGCAGATAATCACTGAAATTATTTGCATTCGATCTCGCTTATTCTTGGCAGACTGCATCATATTACCTCGTCCAAGGTTCTCCATGTTATCATCAGCTCCTACCCCTGCATGTTAGACTGCTTTAGCTACGCGTTTGTTGACACGTGGGTCACCTTGAGGGTACATCAACCCTTCGCCGTGAAAATAAATGGGGAGGGCATTTTGGACATCGGGGCGAACGAAACGATATTCAATTGGGGAATTTATTGGATTAAAAAATTATGTAGATTGAATGAAATCGGAAAGGGATCGCGGCCCGTGTTAAGTAACGTGTTACAGTGGGCTCCTGCTTAAACCACGTGAACACGTGATCGGTGTTTCTAGAAGCTGGTTAATCCGGAGTTTCATCGCAAAAAGTAAATAAAGATTTTAATAAAAACGCAACATAGAGTAGAAAATTCGACATTGGCATTTATCAACGTTAACAACGATTTCACAAATG